CCGGTCCGTCCTTCACGCCCTACCGAGGTCACCAGTTGCCCCCCACGAGCGGCTCTCCAGCACGGCCACAGCCCCAGAAGCACAAGGGCTTAATGCAGAACCCAGCAGCTTGGAGCAGAAAAGTGAAAGGACTATGCGTTAATCCAGGCAATCATTTCTGCCCAGAGGGGAAAGGGTGTTGCTCCCTTCCGCCCTCCTCCCTCTGGAAAGAAAGATGGCGGCCACATGGGAGCCTTGTGGACAGCAGGTATGAGCCAGGGGTGTGGGGGCGACTAAAACTTCATGGGAAGGGGGGCGTTCCGGTCCGTCCTTCACGCCCTACCGAGGTCACCAGTTGCCCCCCACGAGCGGCTCTCCAGCACAGCCACGGCCCCAGAAGCACAAGGACTTAATGCAGAACCCAGCAGCTTGGAGCAGAAAAGTGAACGGACTATGCATTGATCCAGGCCATCAAGTCTGCCGGAGGGGAAAGGGTGTTGCCCCATTCGCCCTCTCCTCTCTGGAAAGAAAGATGGCGGCCACATGGGAGCCTTGTGGACAGCAGGTATGAGCCGGGGGAGTGGGGGCGACTAAAACCTCATGGGTCGGGGGGCGTTCCGGTCCGTCCTTCACGCCCTACCGAGGTCACCAGTCACCCCCCGCGAGCGGTTCTCCAGCACGGCCATGGCCCCAGAAGCACAAGGACTTAATGCAGAACCCAGCAGCTTGGAGCAGAAAAGTGAACGGACTATGCGTTGATCCAGCCCATCAAGTCTGCCGGAGGGGAAAGGGTGTTGCCCCATTCGCCCTCTCCTCTCTGGAAAGAAAGATGGCGGCCACATGGGAGCCTTGTGGACAGCAGGTATGAGCCGGGAGTGTGGGGGCGACTAAAACCTCATGGGAAGGGGGGCGTTTCGCTCCGCCCTTCACGCCCTACCGAGGCCACCAGTTGCCCCCCACGAGCGGCTCTCCAGCACGGCCACGACTCCAGAACACAGAAACCAATTTCTTAACTATCTGACTTTCAGTAGAAATACTTCCAGGGTCAATAGGTAAAATAGCAGAAATCCAAAACCAACATTTAATTCTTGAACCCAGCTGTAGAAAGCAAATCACTTCACAATGCTTTTTCAGCATGTCTGATTTGGGGGGGGGTAAACTCTAAATAATAGTGGTGAATCTTTTATTGAAACAATCTAATCAAAGCGGATAGAGTGTTAACTAGAATTCATCTGCCTCACAGGGACGGGGAGGGGTGGGGGGTGGGGTTTTATTGGGGTTCTTCATGGGAAAAAATAAGTATTGGTAAAGGGAAATGTGTTTGATATTTGCATGACTGAGACATAAACCTGAAAGCTTTGTAACCTTTCCCACAGTGATTCAATAAATAAATAAAAAAAAAAAAACTTACTCTGTAACTAAATGCCATTTCAAGATAATAGATTTATTGATTCAAATTCCTTATCTGAAGCTTCCAGAGGTGACTGTGGTCAATGTTCCAGGTGAGAAACTCTTCTAGGAACCATCACTAAAGCAGGATATCATTAATTATAAAATTTTGAGCATTAATGTTTAGGTCCACCAATGCTTCTTCACTAACTGAAGGCACTGTGAGAAATTGCCAGAAAATGGAAAGGATAAAGAAATTTGTTGACTAAAAGTGTGCCAATCACTCAGCAAAGTGAGGGATTATGCTGAGATGGATTTACAGTTTTCCATTCGCAAATGTGGTCCCACAGAAAGTGGGCTCATCTGCCTATGGTCAGGCCAGCAAGGAATACTAGATGTTTAGTTACTCTCATTTATGGAGAAGGAAGAAAATGTGATACAAAGATAGAGAAAGGTATAGCTGTCCAAATATTTCATCCAGGATCATAATATACTATCTACAGGTTTGGTTTTTTAAAAATTATCATTTGGAGATAATTGGGTTTGAGACAAATTTGAAACTGCTTCATTTCCAAAATTCATCTTGGTCACAGCATCCAGGAGCGATCCATTTGCTAATCAATAAATAACATTTACATTCTGCTGCAAGAAAGGCAACCCAGCACAATACCAATATTGTCAGCAACCCAGAACAACTCTAATTTCCTAACAGAAATTGATTCACAGAAAAATAGTGATTATTGTAAATATTTATAGTTGTAAAAGGAAAAGCTCATCAATGTAGATTTTTGAGCAGTTCAGTCCCATCTAGCCATTTATTTTGAGATGTAGAACTGTGGTGGGTGTGTAGCAATTATTCACTGGAATCAGCTCTTTGGGGGGTGTCATGGTAGTTTGGGCACATCCCAGGTGGTAACATGGTAAAGTGAAGAACACTGGGAATGGAGAGATCAATTCTATCCCTGGCTTTAAAATGTGTGATCTAGCCAGCAACATCACCTCTCCTTTCTTCTGCTAGAAAAATGTTGTACCATTTGTCAGTGGAACCTCCTCGTTGTTAGGAGGATAAGGTAAAGTGACTGTGGGTGAGGAGGAAAAAGAACATACATTTGGAGTGTCTTAATGACTTTCTCTCTTCCAAGAATAGGATTAAGAACAAGGTAACAAGACTTCCAAGAAATCAGATAGGTAGTTCTAAAGCTCAGTGTCCTTGGGGATTTTCCTACGGAAAATGAAGTGACAATGATAATGAGTATGTTCATTCAGTAATTCCTATGACACTGTGAAACAAGGCAAAGTAAAGGCTGTGGTCACTTCTCTGTCCAGGTGGCTCTCCTCTCTGAATCAGTTGTTCCTGAGAAGAAAGTGCAGGTGAAGGCAGAGATGTGGGGAGTGTGGAGTCCCAGCCAGAGCTGGACACATGAGAGGCACGTCAGGGCTGACCTAAGGAGTTCTGCAAGGTGAACAGTAAAAGAGAAGCTGTTCCAGGAAAGGACTTTGAATAGGCAGAGATTAGCATTTCCGGGAAAACACAAAAATAAGCTTTTCAAACTTCTCTCTTGACAGTTACTTTCATGTTGTTTGGCTTTGTTTTTGTAGCAACTGTACCATTTTCTTTAGTGTGAACAATTTTGTAAAAACAAATTTTTAAAGTTTGATTGTTGTAGTGGATCTCATGTTTTCAGTGTTGTTGATTCTATGGTTTGGATATATAGCCAGACCACTCCCCCACAATACCCATGCACCTGAGACCCCTGACCCTTGCTTGTCAAGGTGGCAGGCGAGGGGGTGAGAGGGAACTTGGAAATAGTAGTGGAGGGAAGTTAAACCCAGCAGTTTAGTAGTAGTTAAACTACTGGTGGATAGATTGACTGGAGTGACAGCACAGCGGATAGGGCATTTGCCTTGCACACAGCCCATTCGGGTTCGATTCCTTGGAATTGGAATTGGCTCTTCCTCTTGGAGAGCCCGGCAAGCTACCGAGAGTATCCTGCCCGCATAGCAGAACCTGGCAAGCTTCCCGTAGCATATTTGATATGCCAAAAACAGTAACAAGAAGTCTCACAGTGGAGACGTTACTGGTGCCCCCTTGAGCAAATCCAGGAACAAAGGGAGGACAGTGCTACAGTGCGTTATATCTAAGGCTCAACTATCGATAACTGTAGACCACAGTTCTTTAATAAAAAAATAAAAATTTTATCATGTTACTGGGGCTGGCGCAGTAATGCAGGAAGGGCATTTGCCTTGCATACAGCCAACCTGGGTTCAATCCCAGGCATCCCATATGGTCCCCCAAGTCTTCCAGGAGTGATTCCTGGGTGCAGAGCTAGGAATCAATAGGAGTAATTCCTGAGCACTGCTGGGTGTGGCCCCAAAACCAAAGTAAAAAAAATTGTTTTTATCATGTTACAGGTGCGTTAAAAGTTGACTAATTTATAAAAATAAAAAATTGTGTTATAAAAAATTCTGTTCCTACCACAAATAAAGAACATTATTGTAAGCAGTGCATAACCTTAAAAATACAAAGAAGGCGAACTCAAGAATTTATTCAATAAATAGCTGTGCTTTGTTTTATTTCCTGGGACTAAAGGAGTGACAGATCACCTACAGGAGTGACAGATCAGGGGGGAGATAAATTGATGTTCCATAGTGACTGATAGAAAATAAATAAAAAGTGACTTTGGAAGTTACTTAAAGAGTGATGGAAATGTCATTTGTGCCGAGATCTCAAGGAAGTTGCAGCTCTAAGTGCTCTAAGACGATAAACCAAGGTCAGTCAGATAAGATGCCTGAACGTAGCTCGGAGTTGGCTGCAGGGAAAAGTAGTAGAGACCTACTCACACCGAGTAGATTCCGCCAGAAAATTTGGAGACCCTGCAGGCAGTATCTTTCTTGAGGTGGTTCTAGGTTAATTCGACTGGCACCAGTTGGATCAAATCACGGAGCTCCGCGGAAAACATCACACTCTGGGAAACACCGCACAGTGCAAAAACTGGCCTGTGGGGGACATGGCTCAGCCACGGAATACAAACCTTGCAAGATTTCAGTCTGACCTTTTTTTTTTTTTCTCTCCAGGCGCGGCAAATTAAAAAAAAAATCCAAACCCAGGACACAAAACCGTAACTCTTCTGATTGAATAGTTTGGAAACTCGGCCTTGAAAAGTTAAGAACTGGGGCTGGAGGGGGTGGTCAGAGAGACAGGGCGCTTGCTTTGCAAAACAGGGAAGTCCAGCGTGTGATCCTGACCCCCCCCACACACACCCAGGGTGCCCTGGAGCATTGCCAGAAGTGCAGAGCCCGGAGTAAATCCTGAGCACCCCCGGGTGTAGCTCCAAACCATATAATAATAATTAATAATAATAATAATAATAAATACTGTTACTACTCCCACGCCTACTAAGGCAGAACTAGGGCTGCGAAGCCCGAACTTTCCCGGGTCCAGCCCCGTAGCACCCTATCCATCCGGGGCGTTCAAGGCTGGGCCAGCCCGCTGAGATGCCGAAACTGGAAGGCTCCCCAGTCCGGCGATCCGTGCTCCAGGCTTCCCGACGAGCCCAGCAGCGGCCTGAAAACGCGGAGCGGCGGACTCCCCGGAGCGGGCGCCGGGCCGGCCGGACCGGAGCGTGCGCGCTCGGCGGCGGCGCCGGGGGGAGGGTCCTCGGGAGCGGACGTTCGGCGGCGCCCGCGTCAGCGCCCCGGGAAGAGGAGGGCGAAGCCGCCACCCGCCATGTTGGACGCCGCAGATTCGCCATAAGCCGGCCGGCTCTCGGCCTGAAAAAATAAAAAATTCCGGAGCCGAGCCTCCGCGGAGCGGCCCGCCTTCTCGGGCAGCGTGGGAGGGGCCCGGAAGAGCCCCGAAGCTTTTTTTTTCCCCCCTCCGCGGCGGCGGCGTTGCTATGGAGACGCGGGCTGCAGGTGAGCGGGCTGGGGGTTGGGGGATGCGGTGGGGGGTGGGGCGCGGCGCGGCGCGCGGGGAGGCCCTCGGCGGCGGCGGCGGCGCCGAGTCGGAGCGCGCGAGGGGCGGCGGAAGGATCCGCGGGCCGGGGAGCGCGCGGAGAGCGCACGCCGTCACCGTCACCGTCATATCCCGCCGCCTGGGGAGAAAAAAAAAAAAAAGTAACTGTGCTGGCGGAAGAGCGAGCGCGGGGGAAACGGCGCGCGCGCCTGCGCCGGCCGTTTCCACGGTGACGGGGGAAGGGCCGCGGCACGCGCTGGCGGCGGAATCCTGGCAGCCGGGTCGGCGGGAGGTTCAAATCCCGGCACTATCAGCGCTTGTCTGGGCCTTCTGGCCTGGCCTGCGTTTTTCCTATGAAATGGGCAGCGGCACCTCCCTGCTTCACGGGCCAGGAAGTTTAGAAGGACTAAGGCTCAATGAAGCTGCGGGGGTAGTTTTTTTTTTTTTTTTTGTATCCGAGAGGGAGGCCGTAAACGCGGGCGGTTAGCGTTGATACCAGGAGTAACTGTGTGTCATCCTGTACCGAATGTTAGGATTTGCCCAGCTCTGTGGGGACTAAGCACCCTTTCAGGCAGCCTTCTCTGCTTTGCCGCTCTGGCCGGACCCTCCTAGAGCCCCTGAAGCTTGAGCTTGGACGGCCTTACTGTGTGATGAACAACTTCCACCCTCGGGCTGCAACTGCTAACATTTTCCCAGCAGCTTTTAATTTGCGCGAGTTACTGCTGAGCACCAACAGCTAGGCCGGTCAACCACCACCCACCGCCCAATAGAGCTGGAGTTTGTGTGCGAAAGTTCAAGAGAGCTCAGTCTCATACAGATCTGCGTAGGATGGCAGAGGCGAGGCCTTAAAATCAGCTTCAGTAGGAATGAAATCCAAAGTCCTGCGTGCTCGCCTAGTTTCCCTGCGTTAGTGCTTGGTCCAGAACCAACGTGCTGAACCTCCCAGAAAGACAGGCTTTGACCTGTTCACCCCCCACACTTACCTTCCAGCATCCTCTGAGCCCCCGATGCCCTGGTCATGCAGAGCACACAGGGTCTTCTCTCCAGAACTTTCCCTTTCCTATGGAAGGGAGTTTGTCCACAGGCTTTGGGATTAGGAGAAAGAAATGGGAGAAAGAAATGTTTCCTGTGTTTGGCACCGCCAACTGGTACAGATTGGCGCCAGGTGGCATATGTAGTCTCTGGCTAGTATGGTTTGGCACCGATTGGCATGGGCTGGGACCACTGTTAGAGATTGGCAAGGGGTGGCACAGATTGGCACTGAAAGACACTCATTGGCATCAGTTGGCACAGGCAATACCGCCTGGCACATGTTGGCAACATTAGGCACTGATTGGCATCAACTGGCAAGCCTGGGGTCAACTGGCACTGATTGGCATAGGGGAGCATTGACTGGCACAGGTTGACACAGACTGGTGAAAACTTTCTGGCATAGACAAGCATGAACTGGCATTGACTGGCACAGGTAGAAACTGGCACATGGAGGCATGGCTGACTTAAGATGGTGCTGCCTAGCACAGGTTGGCATTGATTAGCATGAATGAGCAAAGGATGACACAGACTGGCAAGACTGGCATTAACTGGCAGAGTCGGCAAGACGGGTACAAACAGGCAAGGTTGGCACAGATGGGCACAACCTGGCACCGACTGTCAATGAATAAACACTACTCTGGACCTCCACAAGTTTCCAGACAAGCCCAGAGCAGAAACAAACAGGAAGAGGCCAATGAACTTTTGTGAATGAGTCAGTGAATTGTGAGGTATGACGCTGGGGACATCATGCCAGGGGCAGAGTGCATGCTCTGCACCAGAGGCTTGGGCTCGAGCCCTAGTACTGCACGGCCCATGATCTCAGCCGGAATGATGCCCAGGCATGAACCAGGTAAAGCCCCGGAGCACTGCTGGGAGCGATGCAAAAGGAAGCGTGATGATAAAAAAGAGCAGCCGACTGTTCGTCAGGGCTCCACCAACTGGGGTGGAGCAGAAGGGGAGGCCGGGTGCATGAAGCTCCTGTGCAGAACGGGCAGATCTAAACATGATCTGGTGGGGATCTGGCGTGTTGAAAAAGGCAGAGAAGGGGAGAGAGTCGAGGTTCTGAACGGCAGCCGCCTGCAACCTAGCTCTGCCTCAGCCCGGCTCTGCCTGTGCGTCTCCGAGGGTCCCTGTGCCCAGAGAGACCTGCAGAGGCCACACCTGCATGGGGGATCCTGTCTGCTGTGTGAGCCTCGCCAAAGGATGTGTGAGACAAGGGGGACCCATTGTAAGCCACACGGGCCACTGCTGCCTGACTACAGTCCCCCCACAGACACACAGACACAGCAGACACACCCCGCCACAGCGCCTGCTACCCGCCACATTCCACCAAGAGCAGCAGCTCTCCCCCTGGGTCTCACAGTGCCCCGCAACTCGTGACACTCAGGCAAGATGAGGATGGAAGAATGGGGGTAGAGGTAAAGGGGCGCCTGTCAGCTGGCCGAACCCAGGCTACGGGCAGCCCAGTCCTGGCCTGGGCTCCTTCGGGGTGGAGGTTGCCGGGGAGGGAAAGAGCAGATGGAGCCTGGCCTTGGCTTTGTGCCAAAGTTCTAGGAGCCCCCCACCCTGTTCTCAGTGTGAGCACACCCCTATGAGTCTGCAGACAGAGCCCATCATCCACCTCTCTTTCCGGAGTCCCCCCTTGCAGCTGGTGCAAGTCACCATCAAGGTGATAACAGATTGGCATCCAATGTCACTGTTTAGCACTGACCAGCATGGGTTGGCACTGTGAAGTATAGACTGACGCATGTTGGCAAGACTGGCATCATCTGTCAGAGTCAACATTTATAGATTGACAATGCCTGGCAACAGTTGGCACTGACTGGCATGTGACAGTTCTTGGTACATATTTGTAACACCAACACATTGGTGTTACTGGCACCAGATGTCTATGACATTGACTTGAATAGGTTGTACTGCCTGGCACTTCCTGGTAAGGGTGGCATTGGCATGGGGCTGCACAGGTTGGCATGGAATGGTACTGCCTGGCACGGGTTGGCAAGGCTGATCACAGGTTAACACAGATGGTGTTGCCTTGCACAGATTTGGCATAGATGAGCATTGGCTGGTATAGGCCAGCATTGGATCACATAGGAGCCTGAAATTTCAAGCCTGACAGGGATGCTGTCAGATTCTACAAGTACCTGCAGAGAACTGGTGAAAGGGGTTTGCATGTGTCACAGCCAGCCCCTTCAGGCTGGGAATTCGCATTCAGGAAAGTGACCCAGTAGATTGGGAAAGGTTTCCCAGTGGGGTCCTAGGAAAAGTAAAGCTACTGAGCAGCAGGTTCCAGTGGCTGGGAAAGAGAAAATGGTGAGGAGGGGGGCCTGCTAAATGGATACATGGTTTCCTTTTGGAGTGATGAAGATCATTTGGAAATTAGCTCAAACTGGTGACTGCACAGCCTTGTGAAAGCACCAAACCCTCTGACTTGTTCACCTGAAAACAGATGTCTACAGGTTAGGTGACTTTCATGAGAATTGAAAAAGAGGAAAGAATTTTAGAAAGAAAAAGAAAAAAATGAGAAGATATAATTAATGAGCAGGAGTTATGCAGTATTTTAAATATTGCAACAGAGGACCTGAGAGATAGCTCAGTGGCTAAGACAACTCTGGTCTGATATCCACCACCACATGAGCACCACCTGGAGTGATCACTGAGCACAGAGGCAGGAGTAAGCCCTGAGCACTGTCATGTATCACCCCCAAAATAATAATAAATATTGCAGTAGGTCCACAATAGGACTCACAGATTAACCATATTGTCAGAAGTATAGCAACTGCAACTCTTTCTGAGTAGCCAGTGTATCTAAATGATCCTTTAACAATTGAAAGCAAAAATGAATAATGCCATCTGGTGTTATTATTATAAGATTTTGGTTTCTGAGTCAAGAGTGCGACACAGTAGAAAAGCTCAGGGTGGGTTAAAACTTGATTTGGAATCCTGATCGGAATGTTTATTGGGTTGTATATAGGTGGGGAGGAATTGAACCCTGGGCTTCACACACAAAAGGGAAATGCTTTACTGCTGAGCACCTTCTACAGCCAAATCCTGCCTAATGTTAGTTATCAGGTTTAGAACTGGTGAACACACAGCACCTCTCTGTGCCTGTGTTTCCCTGTTACACAGAGTCTAGTCCCAGTGACATCTACGCCAGAGAATTGTTGTGGGACAGCAGGATGAGGGTTCACCTGGAAGGTGCTTACCACATGGCATTGTGGTTGTTACTCTCTGGTATGTGAAGTCTTTCAAAACATAGATCCCCGGGGAGAAAGAACCAAACACATTTCAGTGGAACTTTTGAAACCACAGCTTACACTGTATGACCTGGAACTGCATGGACCAAAGAACCACTTTATAAGGTGCTTGGGTAAGCAGATTGAAGCAGATTGAAGCTTCCTGGGTTGTAAGGCAGGTAGTGGTGGTGGGTCTGAAGCTGAAGGGGTCAGTTCTGCTCCCCTTGTGCCTGTGAATTCCCATGGCCATGAGCACAAGAGGCTACTTTCTAGTGTGCCCCTGTCACACTAGAAAGTATGCCTAAGTCACCACTTGTGAGCAAGGGGGCAAAGTGAAATCCACGAACTTCCTGTAATTGCCTACTAGCAAGGGCAACTGGTCTTCCACAGTCTCGAGAACTTAATTTTTTTGGAAAAAGCTGTTAAATGACATTGTTGTGAAAAGGTGAAGAATGGTGGTGCATAGCCTCAGCTTTCTTGTTTGGAAAAATTCTGTTATGTGAATGTGTGATTTTGTGTCTGCAATGGATTCACTGAGAAAAGAAATGGCTCTGTGTGATAAGGGACAGTTCAATCATCACCATCGTCTTCTTCTTTGTCTTCTTCTTTGTTGTCGTCGTCTTCTTCTTCTTCTTCTTCTTCTTCTTCTTCTTCTTCTTCTCCTCCTCCTCCTCCTCCTCCTCCTCCTCCTC